GAAACAACTGAGCGATATGGTCAGAAAATGGGGAACAAAATATGGAGTTTTGGTCAGTATTGAATAGAATTAATCTTTACGGGCTACTTTGTTTTATTTACTTTTTTTTCTAGTTAAAATGAAGTGAAGGAATGACTGCTTTGGGTAATATTCCATGATGATTACATTAATTACTCCATGAAGAGAAATCATGAAAAGTGCTCATGTCACATTGTGACAACCTTACTATAATGATTAGCTAACAAATCGCTTAACATTTACATAAGGTGAAAGAAATCAATTATCTGGTTCATTTTTCGAAATAGTATCCATTGATGGTGGTAAAGAGAATTGAAACGGAATAGATATAATTTGGAATTTCATCAAAACATTTATTTAAAAATCTGATAGGCTTACTTAGACTACTAGCAATGTATTACTAGCAAGCCTTGTTGATTTCGCAAATAAATAAATAAAGAAATTAAATGAAAAATAGTTAAAATTTATTATGAAAACTAAATGAAATTTTAGAAAATATTGATAATTTACAGGATCAGTATGAAAAATATCTTGAAGAGGAAATACATTGCGGAAATAGGTGTTTCGAAATATTCAAAGCAAAAGTTGACAATTCATCTGGAAGTGAGGAAGTCAAGGAAACTGTTCTTGGATTAATGAAACTGACAAATGATCGAGATTCCTCGCAAAACACGCTTTCCGATAGAATAGATCAAATAATGGATGAATTGGACGAGACAAAGTGGACTGAATTCGTTGGATTATTGATGATGCTAGGTGAAGAAACGATTATCGAAGTGCTTGAAAATGAATTTGGTAATATTGGAAAAGATCATCATATTGGAAAAGATCATCATATTAACATAATTAAAAAATCATTAAAATTAAAGATTAAGCCGGTTATAAATTGGTAAAAGTATTTTTAAAATACAGTATACTGTTTAATTTAAGCGTTCAACAAAATACACACAGCATGTATTGTATCTATGTTTATTGTATCTATGTTTTTATGTAAATAAAGCTTGCAATTGCATAATGTGTGCTTACATACACACAGTGGTATATGGGTCTTTTTTTTTATTGAAGAAGGTAATTGAGTTAGTCGTTCCGGAAAATTATTTCCGATATTGATCATTAAATCATTCTATTTAGTTTAATCAATAAATAATATATC